TTGCATCCCAGGGATGAAACCCACTTGCTCATGGTGTCTGCTCCTTTTAATGTATTGATTTGGTTTGCTAGTATTTTGTTGAGGGTTTTTGCATCTGTGTTCATCAGGGAGATTGGCCTATAATTTTCTTGTCATGTCCTTATCTGGCTTCAGTATCAGAGTAATGCTGGCCTTGTAAAATGAGTTTGGAACTGTTCCTTCCTCTTGAATGGTTTGGAGGAGTTTGAGAAGGATTGGCATTAATTCATCTTCAGATGTTTAGTAGAATTTAGCCATGAAGCCATCTGGTCCTGGGGCTTTTATTTGTGGGAAATGTTTGATTATCGATTCAATCTCTTTGCTCCTTATTGGTCTATTCAGATTTTCTATTACTTTATGATCCAGTCTTCGTAAGTTGTATGTTTCTAGGAATTTATCCATTTCTTCTAAGTCACCTAATTTGCTGGCATATAACTGTTCATAGTAGTTTGATGATATTTTGTACTTCTGTGGCATTAATTGTAATGTCTCCTCTTTTGTTTATAATTTTATTAATTTGAGTAATAGCCCTCAAATCTCTTTTATATAGTCCAGTCAAAGGTTTATCCATTTTGTTTATCTTTTTGAAAGAAACTTGCTTAAATGGAGTTGTATAAGCTGGCTTGTATAAGGTCAGAATCTAGAAAGTTCTAAATTGTTTAAAGTGCCTACTAAGACAAGCTGCCTGAGAATCTGTTTATTTTTAAATTCTTGATAGTATTCAAGTGTTTTCAGTAAGAACTCAAGTGATTTCGATTTTTAAAGCTGTTAGATTTAAAATCTTAAATTATACATTGAATGTAATATAGGTTTTTATGTAAATTTTTAAAGTTTTTTTTTTTTTTTTTAAGTGAAGGGTTATTGTGGGAAGTGCCACATCCAGGGAATTTCCTTATAATGGTGGGGAAGAAGTCTGTAGGAGAATAGATCATATTAGACAACAAGATCTTTTATCATTTTCAATTCAGCAATTCTGGGAAATGCAAGTCAATTAGAGAAATTAAATCTCCAGGAGAAACATTGGCTTTCTGAGGTCATTATAACTGCTAGCAGCATGATTGTATATAACTTGGAGGAGTCCCTGTGCGCCAGACTTACTATAGAAAGGAGGGTAATTGAATGAGAAACTTGAGAGTGTCATCAGTCAAGAATACAATTCAAGAAGAGAAGAAGAAGAACAGTGAGTAATCATGGGGGCCTTTTTTAGAGCTATGTATTCTGAGTCAGTGGGAAATGACATAGTATAGGACGTGGTGTCCTCACTCTGTAATGAAAAAGGCCAGTTTCCCCTCCCCAGGCTGTTACTTTAGGTGTGCCACCAAGTGTCCCATTTCTTTGTATGGATACATTAAGTGTCTCAAACCAAATTGTATCTCATTTTTCTCAGCTCTCTTTTTTTCTGTGATTTACATATTTGCCATCCTTCTAAAAGCATGGGTTTCTGTCTTTGCAATCTATTGGCTAGCGACTTTTTGCTGATATATGGGGGCCTCCCCTGCTTGTACCTGAGGGAAGGAGGAGCCCTGAGCAGTGCCCCCCCAAATAGCGAAGGCCTGAGATACACCCCAGCCTTCCCCAAGGATTTACCCCGTGATTCATCTGAGGCTTATTGATCATCCATGGCGTCCCCATGTGGGCCAGTTACTGCAGAGTGCCTGAGAATCTCTGAAGATCCTGCCCACCAAGGTTTTACAGCCCGCTAGGTCACCAGGTACATGTCTGTAAGACAAAGGCAAGGAAGGCACGGGCACAGAGGAGACGAGGGAGAATGAGGCACCGTGCCTAGGAGGGCAGAGAGAGCACTTCAGTTTGCAGCATGGTGGGGGAGGTGTGACACTTGACTTGGGTTGTCAAGACCAAGCTGGATCTTCACTGGAGTGGATTCAGAAAGTACATAGCAGGAAGGGACCCTGAGCAGAGGCAGGAGGCCCCAGCCATGGCACACCATCAGTGATCATCTTCTGGCAAAGGACAGAACAGGGTCCTTGCCTGTGCACTTTGGTGGCCTGCGTCTGTGGGATGTACAGCCTCGTGGCCATGTTGGGCACATTCCCAGACCCACCACCAGACCCCATTGGGGTGAATCAGGGTTTTGTGTTGAAATGTGTCCTTGCTCTTACATCGGCCTCACAGCCTCTTCAGACACATTTCCGACGATGCTGTGGAGCAGGGGTGCTCTGGCCTAGAGAGCCAATCCCCCTGCCCAGTGAGCCACCTTTCTGAATGGCTATGGGACGTGGTGAGGGAGGGACCTGGCTCTCATGCAGAAGCCGCTTTCTCTTCATCTTGTTGGCGTCCTGTGCTCAGGAGCTGGTGCTGATGAGTTTGAGATGAGAGGGAGGTATACAAGGCCAGGCCCAGATGTTCACCAGTGGATTAGTCTCTCTGTTCTGGAAAAGAGAGGAAGTAAAGTGGTTCCGATTCTTTTTCTGGTGTTTCCAGCTCTGCCCCCTTTCTTGCTAGAGAATGCTTGGTAACTATCAGAGGACCTTCCTGACAGCAACGAGGAGAGCACGGGCCGCCTCCAGATGCTGCGCAGTTATAGGAAGTGCCTTGGGTGGGCTGCTCAGGGGAGGACAGTGCTGTGGTCCATCTATAGATCCTAGCTGAGCACAGCGACCTGGCTGCCACCCTGGGAACAACAGACAGATAAAAGAGTCGGCCCTCTCCAACACCTACAACTGGCGCATGGTGCCTCCCGGGCCAGCGGTGCCTCTGTCCCCACCCGGCCTCTGTGCACTCATGTCAGCAAGTCCTTCAGCGCAGAGGCGGGCCGTGGGCACACTCTCTCCTGGCGGCCGCGAGCCCGCCCTCTCCTGGAGGAAGGGGAGGCCTGCAGAGCTGGTGGGGCAGGTTTTTTGTGGGGGGTGGGGGTTGTGTTGGCCCCAAGGGGCAGAGCCGGGTGCCATGCACCCACAGTGCCCCGTGCAGGCTGGGCCACGCTGACAGTAGTGCAGTGGATGTGAGGTGACGTGGATGGCCTCATCCTTGTGGAGAGGCTGAATGAAGAGAAAGGAGGCCGACTGCCTTTACGTTGGGGCCACACAGAGGGTCCCTTAGTGTCCCGAATTCTCTTTCTCTAGAAGTAACACACTGAAGCCTAGGAAACATCCTAGAGATGGTTATTAGAAGACTTTTCCAAAAAGTTCTTCCAGATGAAGGCCATCTCAAGTCCTAGGCACGGTGTTCCCCCCGCCCTTCTTTCTGGTGGCCCTAAAGGGCAGACAGGCCCAGCCCCCATCCTCTCCCTCCCCGCCCTCCACCAGCACAGCAGCTTGAGCCAGGAATTGGGAATCTGGGGATGGAATCACCCAGATTAATTTGCACAATGGGTGAATGTATACATGAAATTACCACTCTGCCCTCTAAATTTGTAGTTCTCAGTGAGTCTAACCATCACTCAGTAGTCAGTCCCTGACAGCCTTGTTATATCTATGACACCATTACCTCAGTTTCTAATTCTGCCTTGTGTTCTTGGGATTCAACGTGACTGAACTTTGGTAAAAACTTGATATGTAGACACAAAGAACCATACACCGTTCAAGGAAGGAAACTGGGCAGTTCCTTTCACACAGCCTGTTAAGGAACTGCACTCCTCTTCCTTTGGTGAAACTTGCTTGCTGTTGTTCACGTGTAAAGCATTTGTATTTCTGAACTCTCTGATGGTAGATCCTGGAAAGCATCTTGGAGGAGGCACCTGAATTAGGAGTCACAACCTGAGTGAGGAGGTCCTTGCTCATGGGCATGCCCGTCCTGTTCGCCTGCCAATTAGCTAACAGATATCCCTGCAGACTGGGGACGGGGGGGGGGGGGGGGGGCAGAGAGTATGAGCCTTGAGATACATCCAGAAGGGAGCCTACTACTAGCCATTAGAAAAAGATGAGCAGGGGAGCCATTATGAAGAGAAGAATGGCATAAGTGAGAGGTGAAGGAATTTGCCACAGGCCAGGCCCCCTGCTCATGAGCAGGGGTAGGAGCTGGAATAGGACTCAAAGGAGTTCTCTGATTGTGTCTGGCCGAAGACAGTTCCTGTCCCTCTAGGTACTACGCGAATTCCTGGAATTTCTGCTCACCCATTTCAGAAGGTTCTGGTGTCTCAGGAAAAGAAGAGCCAAATGAAGAAATGTCTTGCTTGGCTTTACCACCAGAGGCCTGGGAATCCTCTCCTGTGCTGATGATAGCGAGAGCTGATGCTTACGTGTGCTCTTGGCAGCGTTTATCCAATAACTCTGTGAGGTAGTTAAGGAAGGTGTCATTATTCCCATTTTGCAGATGAGGCAACTGAGCTTCCAGGAGATTCATGGAATTGCATAGATAACAGAGTTGATCTATAGGAGAGCCAGGTCTGGGATGGCCCTATCAATCTATATCCAAGTCTGTCATTTTTCCCACCAAGCTCTCTTGCTTTTTCTGAAGGTGGGGAAGGAGTCCAGGCTTGAATCTCTTTGGAGATAGACATTCATCAAGACTACCATGCCTGATCTTGAGTTGCATACAGATGAGAAGATACTAGGAGGGGCTATTCCAGTGTGATTTTATGTCTTTGGCCCAGTGGTATCATTCAGGTGGCTCAGGAGGCACGGAGGTTGTCCTGGGTCCTATTGACCTCGCCTCCACTGGTTCAAATTTCTCTATCACACAAAATATCCATTAGCTGTAATGATACAGTTTTCACTGTGGGGAAATTGCTAGAGAAAGAAGTTAACTGGTATTAAAGCTTCACTAAGAAATAATAAATAAATAAATAAATAAATAAATAAATAAATAAATAAATAAAGCAAGCTTCACTAAGTGTTCTTGGTACCTTTAATTTCAGTGAGTTTCCAGTGAGTCTGGCTCATTCTATATCTTCTCTGTTAGTCTCTGTACCCTCACAGTTACAAGATATCTGACAATGTGGATGGGCCCTGGCCGTGTGTTTTCTAAGGCATTCTGTCCGCCTGGGTGCGTGAGCACATGATGACAATGTTCTTCCCTCATAGAGCTGCCAACTTCAGGAACTTCACATTCATCCAACTGAATGGAGAGTTTTCTCGGGGAAAGGGACTTGATGTCGGAGCCCGCTTCTGGAAAGGAAGCAACGTCCTTCTCTTTTTCTGTGATGTCGATATCTACTTCACCTCTGAATTCCTCAACACGTGCAGGCTGAACACGCAGCCAGGTATGGGTCTCTGGCCTCGACGCTTCCCTTCCTCTCACTCCTTCATGGTTCCCTCTGACATCCTGCTTCTGAACAGGCCTAATTTACCCCAAGAAAAGGAAAATCATCTGGTTTGATTTCTCCTTTGATGTCAGGGTGGGACTGTTGGCCCCCATAATCCTGAGATGCTTTGTCCTAAGTCTAGGACCCCTGTTCCGTGTTCAGCTGGGAGGTGGGCTCTAGTGAACATCCACAGGACAGGGCGTGGTGGGGATGATGAGGGCTGGAAAGCTGTCTGAGATTGAAGGGAAAGGAGTGGCCATGGGCAGACACTAAGGGAGGCAGGGATCTGAGCAGAAAGAATCCACATGGAGAAAACCATTCTCCTGGAGTTTAACTTGTAAGCAGGCTAGTATTCAGCTGATAACCACTGTTAAATCATTGATGCTCTTGGGTGTAAACTGGTAAAGAGCAAATGCCCTGGGGTCCCTAAATCTACTGCTGCCTGAAGTCACCCTGGCCCTTCTGGCCACCCTTCAGAATTCCACAAGGCAGCAGTTAATGGGTTAATATCTGGCAGGGCAGCTCAGTTGCTCCCCAGAGCCCCCATCTGTCAGGACTTTGCATGCCACTTCTGTGCTACAGATAGAGGAGAGTCTGCCCATGTGGTCGAGGTGTGTAGGACTGCTGAGATCTGTTTTATGGCTGAGTGAAAAGAAAAGAAAAAGTGGATGTGAATATCTGGGATTATCAGAGGGCTGAATATGAGTGAACAAGCCTACTAGCTTTGCTTTAAGTGAATGTTTGTTTTCTGGTTTGCAGGGAAGAAGGTATTTTATCCGGTCCTTTTCAGTCAGTACAATCCTGGCATAATATACGGCCATCACGATGCAGTGCCTCCCCTGGAGCAGCAGCTGGTGAGTAATTATCCCGCAGGTGCCTTTGTGCAGCTCTCTTCCCTGTCTTTCATTACCAGGGGCACCTGACCACGAGTAAAGGTGAGTGGAAATCTGTGGATTGATTCCCACAGTAATTTTTAAATTTGGCAGACGTTCTGGCCTTTGGTCCCAGGGTCTTGTTGATTAAAAGTGCTTGTAATATTTAAAAGTGGAAAATAAGTAGGAACAGTACCTTACAGAAAGGTAATTTCACACCTTCATAGTTTTCTTCTATGGCTTTTAGAAACTAGTATTATCACATTATGGATGCAGCACATTTTTTCTTTGTTATTACAGACCCTCCCAGGTAAGAAAGGTGACAGCTAGGAAGCAGAAGTCAGAAGGGGGTGGCTCACTGCAGGTCACCCAGTGAGCACATCAATGGGGGAGTGAGGACCAGACCCAGGACCCTTCCCATCATCCCCACACATGGCAGCCACTCTGGAGCACGGTCACCAGCAAGGTGGGCCCTAGAGGAACGTTGGAGGGGCTTCTGTGCTGAAATCTTGGGGGGCGCCTGCATGGCCCAGTGGTTGAGCATCTGCCTTCGGCTCAGATCATGATCCTAGGGTTCTGGGATCAAGTTCCACATTGGGCTCCTTCAGGGAGCCTGCTTCTCCCTCTGCCTATGTCTCTGCCTGTCTGTAATAAATAAAATCTTAAAAAAAAAAAAAGATCTTGGCTGCACAGGTGGTGGATAGTGGGACCACACAGCCCCCCAGGATCTCTGTATGCTGAGTGGTCTTGGTGGTGGCGGTGGTGGTGGCCCTGAGTCCAGAGAAAGCAGTGTGGGCCACGGGAAGGTGTGGTAAAGCCAGAAGAAGGTCTCTGTAACACAGGTAGGCAATGCCCTTCTGAGACAAAATTCCCCATTATTGTTGTCATCCCCAACTTGAACTCTGACCTTTCCCGGCAGAGGTATCAACTAGGTTTGTCTAAAGCTGCGTTCCAGCTCAGGATGACTGTCAGGAGGCATCTGACCTTGGGTTGTCTGCTCTTCATCACCTTGAGTGTCTGTGTCTCCTCTTGAGGCAAAGCCATGTTTCTTCCCACTGAGTACCTCTTCGGGTACAGAAGGGAAATCCGCTGTGCGAACGTGAAGCTGTGAGGGAACCCCGTCTCTCAGGCTTCTGTGCAACGGGAGAGTAAATTGACTTCATTGAAAACATGTGTTCTTTGAGACTCTTTTGGCAGACTGATTCGGTCCTTAAGGTTCCAGAAGTAGCAAAACCTGTTCTCTGTAGCCCCGTCTTCCAGTTAACCTCTGTCTGATATAGGGATCTTTTCTAGAAGGTTTAGCTTGGGTTCCCTGAGGTTGAATGAGGTTGAGTCCTCGCCCATCCCAGCGTGGTTTCCCTTTGGCCTGTGCTGCCCAGTACCGTGATCATATAGCTCTCTCGTCCTCCAGTGAAACTCCACTACCACAGATAGACCGAGGACCTGTTCACGTAACCATATGTATATGTGTGCTGGATATCTCAGCACCATCAGAGTTTTTCATTCCCCAAGAATCAGTTTTTGTCTACCTTAGGATGATATCACTTCTGTTAAGACACAGACCACCTTGTTTCCTTTCCATGAGTTCTAAGTTTCTATTAGGGCTGGAGGGGGAAAAAGAATACAGGATTTATTTTCTTTCAGCCAATCAGAATGTAAGTTCCTTTGGTTTTAAATAAAGTACTTCTTTACATTTGACATCAAATATGATTAATGTTTCGACTTCAAACTCATAAAGATCTTATTTGCTTGCAAGGAATTCTTTTCATTTCACACTTTAAAAGTTTTATCCTTTTATTACCATTCCTGCAGAGAATTAGGTGCAAAGGGAAGCTAGACGTGTGATGTGGTTAAGCCAGTTTCTGAGATCCCTAGAATTAGTAGTCAAGCAGAAACAACTGAGGAACGCCTGGATGTCTCAGCGATTGAGAGCATCTGCCTTTGGCTTAGGGAGTGATCCCAGGGTCCTAGGATCGAGTCCCACATCGGGCTCCTGCAGGGAGCCTGCTTCTCCCTCTGCCTGTGTCTCTGCCTCTCTCATGAATAAATAAGTTTTAAAAACAAAACAGAACTGAGGTCTCTATGTCCACAGCTAGAGCCTCTGAATTATCCTGCAGCCTTTGACAGTTACTTCCAAATACACCTTAGAGCTTTCCTAGAGCACATAAATCTGGTATGTTAGGGTTCAGTGTTCATGATGGCTTAGTCCAGAGAAACACAGTAGCTGTCTCTGAGACACAGGGGGTTCTCCATCTACAAGGAAAGTGTTGATTATGTTCCTTATTGGACGAGCCATTTCTTGAGCACTTGCTGCCTGCAGAGATCTAGATTGGAAGTTCTGGACGAATCAGAGGAACTGAAACAGTTTTGTATGAAGTGATTGGGGAGGTCACTTTACTGTCTTGTTTTTATGGACTCGCCCAAGATCATACAACCAGCTAGTAGCAGAACTCAGGTTGAAAGCAAGATTTCCTTACTCTACTGCAGTGGAAGCAGATTTGCTTAGGATCGAGATGAGGGCTGAAATATAAAGGAAATGATCTGACAAAAATTCCAAAGGAGAACATCAAGCTACAGAAATTAATTTAATGGAAACAATGTGTATGTGCTAAGAAGGTATACATTGAAACAAGATGGTTAGACATGGTAAGTTAGGAAAGACTTCCTACCAAGGGTTCATTTTGACTCAGTCATGAAAGATCTGAGATCTACAGATATTCTTTTTTTTTTTTTTAAGATTTTATTTTATCTGACAGAGAGCATAAGCAGGAGGAGCAGCAGGCAGAGGGAGAGGGAGAAGCAGGCCCTCCGTGGAGCAGGGAGCCTGAAGCAGGACTTGATCCCAGGACCTTGGGAACATGATCTGAGCCAAAGGCAGACACTTCACCAACAGAGCCACCCAGGCGCCCAGATCTATAGATATTCTTGAGAGCCACCCTAGAATATCAGTGTCGAGGTGGAGGGAGAACACAGATCCAGAATGGAGCCATAACGAAGAGCACTCACTGATGCAAACACGAGACAAGTGTGCGCAGCCCAGCGAGTGTGACCTTAGTAGTCCCTGTGCTGGTCACTGCCTGTCAATGGCTCTGCTGTGACACTTTGTCTTCAGACTAAAGCCAGAAGTCACATTCGGGGGCCGGGGGGGGGGGGGGGGGGAGGGCATTCAGACTAGTTGTTTCTTTACTTTTGAGTATAGACCATTAATAATAAGTATGTGAAATCATGGGATTTTATGCTAACATTTAATTTTTTGAGTTGTAAACCTGAGATAAAACTTGCTGATATTTTTATGTAGAAAGACTCAGAGAGATAGGACTGACTCTGGCTTAAATGATTATTAACTTTAGACATTCCACTTTCCTGGTTCCAACCTGGTTCGTGCTGGTACCCACCCAGCTCTTCTGTCTGCAGAGCCTCTCCCTCCCCGGACACCCGGCCTTTCCTTCCCCCTCTGCCAGAGATACATTTCCAAAACATAGATTAATCCCATTTTAAATCATCTTGTCTGGCTTAAAGCCAGCTAGTAAATGTTTAACCACCCACCCTCTGGAAAGAGGGAAGGCAAAGCCCTGATGCACGGTGTTCGCCAGTTTCCATGCTGCCAGTGATTCCAACCCCCCATCCCCCCGTGGCCTGGTGGAGGCCCAGAACGATGTCACTGCACACCAAGGTGGGGTGAGGTCTGGGAGCTGGCCTTGCCAGCCCCAGCATAGCACTGCCAGCCTTGATGGCTCTTTGGTATTAAGTGCCCCCCCACATGGACCGGTGACAGAGCATGTGTCTGCAAACCCCAGCACCTGGTGCATGGCGCCAGCTCAGTAGACCCCTGGCCTCTCTGCCTGGTGCGTGCCCGGCCTGTGTCTGTGCCCTGGCCTTGCCCTGCGAGGCCCTGTCGCCACCACCCCCCCTCCGAGGCTTGGGGGGTGTGACCTCTCAGCCTGCTGTGCACCCCACCCAGCATTTCTGTGCAGCGACTTTGTGCCTGTCTGTCCAGGGTGCACACGGCACACTGAGTCCTGTCCTCACCCTCTTTGAGCCTAGGTACCTTCCCTGTCTGCCCCTTCCAGGAAGTATGTTACCACTAATCTGCATTTCGGTTTACATTTCTAAAACTTGCTGACTGAGCAGAGTCCATCCTTTGGTCTGCTCTTACACAGATAGCACTGGGTACCACAAGTGGTCATGCCTGCCATCCGCAGCCTGTCAGAAGCCAGCACTGCGCCCGCCTTATTGTGTGGACCCACCAGTGACATGCAGGGGCACGACTGCTCGTTCCGCAGACAAAACTTGCTGCACTGAGGCATAGGTCACTTGCTGGGATTGCTGAGTGAGACACTGGGAAGCGAAGGTGGCCCTGTGTGATGAAGACAGGGCCAAGGTCAATGCTGCGTGGCAGCCACGTGTTCTTAGGCCTTGGAGTGCTTCCAGGAGAGTGGAATCCAGCCGTGGGTATAGAGTCCTAGATGAGGGAGCCTGGACAGTTCTCCCCCAGCATGATACCCTCCAGAAGATACCTTATTCTTTTAAGCAGATACCAGTAAAAGAAGCCTTGTGGGAAAATGTGGGTTAACAGGGATCTTGGAGGAGGTGGCATTCAAGTCCATTCTTAGACCAATTCTATGAAAGCTGTGCCTCCACAGTATTTTATTTCTCAAGACATAGAAACGGTTACAGCAATCCTGGTGTTGGTCCGGGCTCAGTCATTCCACCTCTGCACCCCCATCCAGACTCCCCCAGTGCCCAGGTAAGGGAAGTATCATGCAGGGTCGGGGGCACCCACCCCAGCCACTGAAGGCCTGAAGCTCGGGGTTGCTGCTGCTTGCAGGCAGGACTGGCTGCGTAATTCGTGTGGCCCAGTACAGAGTGGAAGTGCAGGGCCCCAGTGCAGGAATTATTAAGCATTTTAAGAGCATCAAATCCAGGAGGAAAGCCTCTGAGCGTGGGGCCTGCCGACTGCAGGGCCACATACCACAGGTGTTTCTCGTGAGTGTGAGCCTGGGCAAACACAGCCTTGGCTCTTGGGAGAGAGCCACTCCTCTAAATCAAAGAGAGGTAATACTCTGCTTGTGTATTTGTTATTTATTTTATTTCAGGGCCCAGATTGCACCATTAAACCATCGGCACCATTAAACTGACAGGCACTGACCGCCTTCCTGGGTCCCCCTGCAGCTGCAGGGTGGCCGTCTTCCCACATCTCTGGGGAGAGATTCTGGTCTGTGCTTTGTGTTTTGGTCCCAATAGAAAATAATCAGCCCTGTCACATGCATCACCCACAGAGGTGTGGGTCTGGAAACTTCCTGTGGGAGAGCAGGCTTGACAGCCGTCCTTCTGTGCTGTGCTATGCTCCTGCCCTGCAGTGCTCTGCTGAGATCTAAGGTGGAGAGGGAAGGGGGCTGCGGAGACTTGAGAGGAGGCTAGTCCTCAAAAGACCTTGTGTTGAGTCAGGATAGCACTTGAAAACAGATCGGCAAAATTCAGGACAGAAGGAGATGTTTTTCTTTTGACTTATGATCTTTATCTGAGAGTTTCTTCCTCCTCTGTGGTAGTAAACATTGTTGGTGTATATCTATCTTTTCAAAGCTTGAATAGAGCAGTGGAGCTTCTCGTGCCTGGGGCGGAGGCTCTAAGCAGCAGAGCCCTCTGCTTAGAGCCCAGGAAGGCGAAAACATTTTTGTCCGTTTGTCCAAAGCCACATGATTCTGAATTTTCCCACCAGAATCCCTGGGCCCTCATGACTCACCCAAGAACTCCTTATGTGATCCATGTCTGTTTCCACTGGCATGAAGCCCTCTCTGCCCTAAGACTGCTCCTCATCCTCTCTTGGAGAAGCATTTATTGAGTACCTGATGTGTACTTGACAGTGATCTGGAGGCAATCAACCAGACCAAGGCCCTAGGCTTATGTTCACCAGTGGTGGTTGGTGAACACAGAAAAGAGAGGAAACAAATGCATCAAACAGATAATTTCAGAAAGCTGTGTTATGGAGAGAATAAAGCAGGTGACAGTATAGAGAGTGACACGGTGGTGACAGAGGTACAGGCTGCCGACCCTGGCTGACGAGGCCGGGATGACTGCTCTAAACAAGTGATGTTGGACCAGAGCCCACTGGTGAGCAAAGAAAAGGTGACCCAGGAAACGGGTCTGCAAGTGTCTAGCCTCAGAGACCTGCCAGCCTGGTGTGTCCAAGGGGCAGGACAGAAGGAGACTGTGTGAGGGGATGTGAGCTGGACGAGGCAGGCGGGGCTTTGGTCACGTAGGACCTTCACAGGACAGAGGTTTTCTCTGGGTTTTATTCTAATTGTATTAGTGAGAATGCGATAAAAGCCCCTTCAGGGTTTTAAATTGGAACATGCTGTGATCTGATAAACATTTGAGAGCGCTCACTCCCAGCTCGGCTACTCGTTGAGGGCACGATGTCAGTGACGTGGCACAGCTGTGGGGGGTAAAACCTGTCAGGAGTGAACTCGGGCTTGCCCTGATGTTATATGCTGTGGGTGCCATCAGATTGGTTTCCACCAATGGCTAAATTTCAAGGAGCATTTCAAGATAGTGGTTTTCTTAGGCTTGCCAACCAGTTAGGAAGTTTTTATATAGTGCATTCCCCAGCTGGTAAATCAGTTTGTGTCTGTCCCACTGGTCCCAGGTGAGGGTCACTCTTGACCTTGTCCAGCCTTGCTGGGTGCTGCATCCACAGCCTGGGTGTGGGGCGACCACCTCTTGCCACCCCCCTTGTCCTTCTTCCCAAGCCCTGGCCTTCCTCTTTTAGATTCCATACAGACCTCAGCCAGATGCTTGAAGTTGGGATACTGGCACTTCTCTTAACTCCATGTTTATCCAGAAGCTTAGAGGACTGGTCTTCATCCTGACCAGCAGAAAGGATATTAAGCCATTAGCTGCAACAGAAACCGTGTGTACCTGCTATGAAACAGAAACTCTTTTTAAAAAATGACTCAATGGAGATTTTCCCAAACTTTCCTTCCCTGCAAAATTTTTCCAGTTGATACTAATGAAATTACCTTGTCACTTGGGAGATATTGTATAACAGGCCTTTGTTCTGAGGAGGAATTGGAACACATCTGCTGGGACTCACTGACAAAATCTCTCTTGGTCCTCATTTTCCTTCCCCAAACCCTGACGCGTATGTATTCACTCGGTGCGGGTGGTCGTGAAGAGGAGATGGTTTCATGGATTACAAAGCAAAAGAATTTTTAATTTCACAGCTCTGCCACGAGCCATTTATGGAAGACAGTTGAGGCTGTGGTAGAGACAAGAAGCTTCGGGAAGGTGGAAGATGTTTGGGAGCTGGGAGAGACCTTAGCGGAGGGTTAGTTCAACCTCCTGATTGATTGGTTGATTGACTGATTGCTTTTATTTGAGAAAGAGAGTGACAGAGAGCATGAGTGGGGGAAGGGCAGAGGGAGAGGGAGAAGCAGACTCCCTCCTGAGCAGGGAGCTGATTGCTTGTTGGGCTCCATCCCTGGCCCCTGGGATCATGACCTGAACTGAGGCAAATGCTTAACCAACTGGGCCATCAAGGCACCCCTTAATTTTTTATTTTTATTTGGGGGGAGGGGCAGGGGGAGAAGGAGAAGAATCTCAAGCAGGCTCTATGCCCAGCACAGAGCCCCACGCAGGGGGCTCAATCCCACAACCCCAAGATCGTGACCTGAGCCAAAATCAGGAGTCAAATGCTTAACAGACTGAGGCACCCAGGTGCCCCTCAACCACCTCATTTAAAGGAAAGGAAGTAGAGGCTCAAAGAATTGCGGGATCTGACGGAAGCAGAAAAGTCAGCCCATGGGCAAGCTGGGAGGAGACGCTGGTGCTCCTCCCCTGCTACACAGTCTGTGATGAGCAGTGAGCAAAGGGAGCCAAACCTCACAGAAAATGGAGAAGTCCTGGTGGGTGGGGACCTGCTGTGGCCCCCTCCCACTTCCCCGTCCCTCAGGAGAGTGATTTTCTGCACTAAGCACCGATGTTAACCCCAAGAATGAATCGTGAAAAAGAACTATTACACTCTCAGAATGAGTCCCAGAATTAGCTCCGCCAAAAAACTAAAGGAAAGTTTGGAAAGGTCTTGCTGCTTTAGCAAATGCATTGGAAATTTCTTTGCAGAGTAACAGGCTGTGCAGGCCCCGGCCTTGCTCTCTGAAGACCGTCCCTGCTTGGATGGCCTCCTGGCAGCCCTGCAGCTTGGCACCACCACAGATGCTCTTGGGAGCAGTTTGGTTTTAAAATAGTTTAGAGATGAATGGACAGAGCCTTTCTTCAGAACCTGGACTCCTGATGCCCTTTACCTCAGTGAGCAAGAGGTTGCAGAGCCCAAGTAACACACTGCCTTCTCAGGTTTTCTTTGCATTTCCCGAGGGAGTCCTATGTGTGCCCCTGTGCCAGGGCAGCTGACTCCCCGGCTGTTCTCTTTGCCTTTCCTCCCTCCCAAGCCCTGGCTGGCTCCCCACCCGGCCTGTGTGAGGGGCCGAGGCCTCCTGTTCTCTCTGGTACTGCTGCTGTGCCAGACACGTAGGTGGCTTTTCCATGGTGCTGCTCAAAAGCTTGCTCTCCTGGTTTGTTTTTGAGTGTGAGTGTGAGCATGAGTGTGTGTGTGTTCATGCCGACACCCTAGGAACCTTCCAAGCAGAGGAGCCAAGGACCACAGGGCCCATCTCGGAGCTGCTGCATTCAGGGTGTTCCTGGCTGTCGGAAAGGCCTGGGGCCCAGCGTTTCCCGCGCAGGGCTGTCGCTGAGCTCCCCACTTCGCACCGCTGGCACTGCTCTGTGACGTCTCTCCATCACGGTCCCCTCTGTCCACCCCTCCTGAATGACCGAATGACCATGTTCTCCCCGCAGGTCATAAAGAAGGAAACTGGATTTTGGCGAGACTTTGGCTTTGGGATGACCTGTCAGTACCGTTCAGACTTCATCAATATAGGTAAGACGAGCAGCACGTCTGCGCCTCTGCTGCCACCTGGAGGCCAAGGCCCGAGGCCCAGAGCAGGCGGGAGGGCCTGGGCGGGTTCCTGGGATGCTGCGTGTACCCACTTCCCAAGAGAGGGCTGTTGCTCTTGTCGTGGACTTGGGGGCTGGACCAGGAGGAGGCTGGGGTGTGTGTGACCTTGAGCCCCTCTAATCTCCCCTAGACCCTTCCAGTCACCCCAAATGTGGCACACAGACTGAGGGCAAGGCAGTTGCTACAGACAGATGACTTCAAACCGCTCCCCCGGCCGCCACCACCCCACTCCCAAGCCTCCTTCTGACCTAGTTCTGGCTCTGGTCCCTCCCAGGCAGAACATTCTGGGCCTCCACAGTAGCAGGATCCACTGAGAAACATAAGGGCAACGTGGGAGATTTGGGAAAATCACATACCAGAAAAGATCCAAATTTCTCTCTGCTGAACCTTCGAAAATTCCAGATGCTACTTCAGGCTCCAGCTGAGCGTATAGTCACTGTCCGTGCACACACGTTCCCAGAATGCCCAGAGGAAAGGCCCTTAGGTCACAGTTGAGGCCAAAGGGCACAGGGACAGCACAGCAGGTGGGGGCTGTGGGACGAGAGCACTTCCTGTCCCTCAGAGTGGCACCTGCTCATGTGCCTTGAGACAGAGTGACATTGTGACTCTGCACACCAGAGGCTTTGGTCTTGGGCTCAGGCTCAGGGTGGCTGCTGGCATGGGGTCAAGAAGCTCCAGCTCCCAGATCATGGACACTGCCACCACCCCGCCTTATCTTCCTTTCTAAAGCAGGTTTCCGTTTCGAGAAACCCTGTGTTCCCGTGCTCTGTGTACACAGACAGATCCATTTGTGATGATGTATGTTTATCAGACTTGAATTTAGAATAAACTGGATTTTCCTAAGGATGGGGCATCACGGCAGCTGACACATGTGGGAACGGTGGGCTCCCTCCATGAGCCATTGCCGTCACCTCAAAGTCTCTGGGTCACTTCTGGACCCCAGTCATCCCTTAGCATCTTGTATTTATCTGTAAGCATCTAACTTTTGCACCGTCTCTTTAATAAGCTGTAATGATACCGATAAGAAACCCATTACAATGAAGCAAGCACTTCCCCTTCCGTGACTGCTCGCTCGGGCATGACGTCTAGTTCACACCAGGATAAGGAACCGTGGCTCAAGAGAGGTGACCTGGGTGAACTGAGACTCACGTTCCTGACCCCTGACTCTGTATGTCTGCCCGTCAGCCATCGGGGGCCACCAGCCACTTGTGTGCAGAGCCCAACCATGGGCAGGCGCAGGTGGCCTGTGCATGGGTCCCCCTCCCGGCCTGGTGGTGATGGGCGGCCTGGAGCAGAGGAGAGTGGCCTGGGGGCCATGTGGGACCAGTGATGACAGGCATTTGGGGGGACTTCACCACTTTTCGTCAAAGTTACATTTACGTCTTGGAGGGTTCAAGCTGGCAAGGCGGCAGCAGGGCCCACTGTGGGGCTCAGGGCCACTGCATGGCAGTTCCGGCAGCCCTAGGAGGTAGGCGGCGCCAGGAGGCCTGTCTGTGACCTTGTGGCCTCCGGAAGCGGGTGCTGGCCGCCGCCGCAAAACCTTCCCTTTGGGGTGTCTGAATTCTCCCTTGCAGAGGGACACCCACAGATTTCAGAGGGGCAGTGACACACGCCCCCTAAAACACTGCCGCACCACGCACTGAGGGCCATGCCTGTGTGGGGCAGGAAGGGCACAGAGGTCAGAGGCGGCCGAGCAGCATGACTCAGCGATGTCCTCTCTCCCACAGGTGGCTTTGACTTGGACATCAGAGGCTGGGGCGGGGAGGACGTGCACCTGTACCGCAAGTATCTCCACAGCAATCTGATTGTGGTGCGTACACCTGTGCGGGGGCTCTTCCACCTGTGGCACGAGAAGCACTGCGTGGACGAGCTGGCCCCCGAGCAGTACAAGATGTGCATGCAGTCCAAGGCCATGAACGAGGCGTCCCACGGGCAGCTGGGGATGCTGGTCTTCAGGCATGAGATAGAGGCCCACCTTCGCAAACAGAAGACGAGTAGCAAAAAAACCTGAACTCCCAGGGATAGATCCAGGGAGGTTTTGTACTTTTTTCCCTTTGTGATCACTGAACATGTGGCTGTGACAAAGAAAAGACTTTCCTCAAGGGCAAGAAAAAAAAAAAAAAGCTCAACTGATTAGTAAAAGAGATGGGAGAGAGCCTCTGATTTCTCTCTGCCTATTTGGCTCAACGCAACAGGAATTAAAATCTCTCACTTGGCCTGCAGGAGCAGCCCAAATGCATCCCGTGCAGAGTCTGACAAAGGCAGGATGATTGTGAGGTTACAAGCCTAACTGCGTGGAGGGTTTGTGTTTACAGCAGAGTGAGAGCTATTATCTTTTGTGCCCGTTGAAATATTCACAAATTATAAAAAGTTTGTTTTATAAGGAGTTCTTTCAAATGAAAGGCAAGCACATGTCTCCCCTATGAGTGATGACTGCGTGGGTAGGGCTGTCGTGCCTGGAAATGCTAACATATCAGGAGACCTTGTGAGCTTCGGAGATACACTCATGGTGATCCTTGTGAGTATATTAAGCAAAACCAAATGGACTCAAAAAGAGAAAAAAAGAAACTTGTGTCATTTCCATCCAAGATTAACCAAAAATAATCTGCTCATCTTTTTTTTATTATAGTTTTAACCATCCCCGTTTCTTAATTTTATTTAAAAATGCTTTTTTTTTGCTTATGAGTTATATTCTGCTTATTTAATTACCAATTTGCAAGCCTTACTAAGATAGCACAAGTTAGCATACATTTTTATACATTTTAAGAAAATACTTGTATTGTGAGAAACTTTTGTTCAGATTGAGCCCCATATCCAAGGACATGCCAAATGCTAATCCCGTCAGACCCTGAATGTCAGGTGGAAGTCGTGGCATGGGACTACTGATACATCGAGACTTAGAGATACTTTATCTGAAGAGTATTTCCCAAGAGGAGCAACTGAACATTGGAGGGAAAGAAAGATATACGTTTTCCTTTAACAGAAAGCCTCATTCAGACTGGTAATATCTTGATTTATTCAAAAGTCAGAAAACACATTTTCTCCTCAGGAGAACTGGGGACCACGTTCTTACCTGTTTAAATAAACCAAAGTATACTGTGTGAACCAAACTATCTTTTTTCAAAGCAGGGTGCTCTTCCTGGCTGCTGGCTTTTATGAAAAGAAATGCAGAAAAATGTATTTTGTGAAAGATCACTCCATCTGCCAGAGTCAAGTGGGATGGAAGATTTTGCTACATGTTCACCCACCCCAATCTAGGGGAAAGTAAATATTTTTTAAATTAAACAGTTATACTTAGCCGCCAAGATGCTTCTGAAAATGGCATTTTATTACAGTTTCCAACTATTTTTTAAAAATACAGTTAACATTGAGTGATTTCTACATTCATGTGAAAATTATTTATTTATTAGCCAGCACCAGATGCATGAGCTAATTATCTGTGATTCCTTGCCTTCTGTTTGCCCACAGTCAACTCATTGTTTAAAAGCTTCCAGAACATTCAAGCTGTTGGTGTGTAAAAAAAAAAAAAAAATGCATTGTATTGATTTGTACTGGTAGTTCATAAGATTTAATTAAAACACAGGACATGAATGGAAGGTAACATTGGACAGCTAATAAAATATGATTTGTGGATATAATTTCTTCTTGGAATAAGAATGCCATGTCTTTAGTTTTGGGAAAACTTTTTTAATGTGGAGAGACCAGGGTTTCTGAACCCTGGTGCAACAGACCCCATGGGCTAGATCCCTCATAGTTGCCAGGGCTGCCCTGTGTACCGTAGGGTATTTAGCAGCATCCCTGGCCTCCACCTGCTAGATCCAAGGAGCATCTCTCACCTACATTGACAATCATTATGTCTGCAGTCATTGCCACATGTCTCCTGGAGGGCACAAAAGCACCCCCCTACCCGCCCCCTTTGAGGACCACTGGTCTAGAAGGAGAGAACCACAAGGGAAAACCTGGCTGTTAATATTATTTCACTTGTCTTTTTTTAGAAGAAATTGAGAAATGATTTCTAAGGTCCTTTTCTGACTGGGTTTCATATTTTCACATACAGTTGGGATACTGGAGATTCAGGGCATCTCTGGCCTCTCTCTAGCAGTTCTGGGGGCTCCACGGGACTGCCCTGCACAGTCCTGCCCATATTCTCCAGGTGTCAGGAGGATGCACTTCCAGCAGGCCGGCAGCAATGCTGCGACCTTGTGATTAGGCAGGTCTGGGTGTCCTGCGGACTGTGTAATCCCAGGCTGCACTCTGGGGGCCAACCAGCCATTTTTGTGCTGCTGTCAGTTGCATATCACTGATGCCTGAGGCAGTGATTAGGAATTGAGTTTCAACAGTTGGTTAAGAATTGCTGAGGTAGATGAAGAAGAAAGGAAACAGCATAATATTGACCTATTTCTCTCTTTTTAGAACTTAGGTATAGCAGTTTTATTAACAAGTAGGAGTCCTCTTAAAGCACCTATAAGAGGGGGTCTGTTTTAGTTTGGGCTGCTGTACAAACGTCCCTGGATGAGGTGGCCTAACCAGCAAGGGGATGATTCAGGTCAAAAACGCCGAGAATTCCGGGATCGAGGGGCGGGCAGATCCGTTGTCTGGTGAGGACCCATCTCACTGGATCCGCGCAGGACAGAGACCCGGCAGAGGGCTAAGTACCTCCTAAGGGCCTCACTTCCAAATATCATCACAGTAGGGCTTCAACATCTGAATTTGGGGTGGGGGGGGTTGCAAACATCCAGGCCTTAGCAGGACCTACCCTGTCCTGTATACAGAAGGGTTGGTGAAGGCCCTGCTGCGACATTACAGTTAGGGGGCTAGGAATTTAACCCCAGACAGCAAAGGAAAGGAGTGAGGACCTCTGGCTTAGAGGACCCAGTCCCATGAGAACTTCTAGAGGAAGGAAGCGCTGAGTCTTGGGCCTGTGTGATGTGCTGTCCGCATCTTCCCTCTGTTCTCGTGGTATCTGGGTCACCCAAGAACTAGCCCAGCCATCTCCCTGGTGCGGGGGCCTCCATGCAGACCTGGGTCCCCTCTGAGCCGTGGTGAGCTGACCCACCTCTTCCCCCATCTCACTCAGTAATGGCAGGTCAGTAGCTTGAAGTGGACCAAGGTGGGAGTATTTACACTGTGGAAACAGTTGGCCGAGGCTACCTAGCAGGACTCCCCTGCACTCCTGCCCCACCACCCCCTCCCCATTGCAACTGGTCATCACGACTGCATCGATGAGCCCCAGGCAGTCGAAGAGCATTAGAGGTTTTTGAGGTTGGTTGTAGAGCCAGGCACCTCCCTCACAGAAGACCACCTCCTAAAGCAGGCAGTACCATTTTCCAGGTGCGGGAACCGTGAGGAGCTTGCTCGGGCTCACACCTTCACACCACATCCTGCCTCCAGCTGCAGAGGGCTACAAGGTCAGGGTGGGGGTGGGGGGAGGAGGGAGCTTCGGCCTCCAGCAAGTCCAGAGTCTGTTCTCTGCTGCCTCAGTTTCCCACCATGTTCTGCTCTTCAGCACACCTCAGAATCCCCTGACAATGAGTGAGAACAACACAGAGGCCCAGGAACACACGGAATTCACAGAGCTTCCCCGTCCTGGCTGCAGTCCTTCTGTGAGGGTGGGGGCTCTGAAGCCTTGGAAGTAGCCTTCTGTATGACCCCATATGCCCCCCAGCATTGCCCCCCACATGCCCCTGTATGACCCTGTATGCCCCCCTCATGCCCCCATATGCCTTCTGTATGCCTTCCATATGCCCCTCATATGCCCTCCATATGTCCCCCGTATGCCCCCCGCATGCCCTCTGTATACCCCTGTATTCCTCCCATACCCGCCATATGCCCCCCATATGCCCTCTGTATGCCCTCCATATACCACCCTGCATGCCCCCACATGCCCTCTGTATGCCCTTTTTGCCCCCTGCATGCCCCCAACATGTCCACTCTGTGGACATAAAGGCTTCCGTGAATGGGAGGGGAGCACAGGTTAAATCCTTGCCTTCTGAAAAAAGGCCTGACCTGGATCTGAGACTTGCTCATCAGGGGTCCTGTCCTCAGGGGGATCCCTTCAAGGGTGGGTGTGTTTTACTCCCAACACCCATCAAATAACTGGCAGCTTTGTGTGATCCATATTCTGATTGGCTTTATATTTCAATTCAAAGCTGTTTCTCCTGGCATGACCCCACCAGGGCTTTGCTCTTGCTGCCAAAAGCTGTGGGGAGCCTGCCAGCCCAGGGTGGGGACGCTGGGCGGTGGTTCCTTCTACACACAGAACATGTTCTCTCAGCAGAGGTGCCTTTCTCAATGTCTCTGTGACACTGATCCTTTGAGCTCGCCCTTTGGAGGTTCCTCCCCAGGGTCTCGGCCTTTTCGACCTTGTCTGCTCTTCCAGGGGAGAGCACAGATCATGACCTGGGGAGAGAAGCAGGCACAGCCCCTGGGCGCTCTCTGCCTGTCACCCCATCACCCAGAGGCTCAGGCAGGGCCAGGCCCCTTCAGCAACCTCTGCCCAAAACTCCCCAAATGTCTGGTGGTCGACTGTACAGACGGCCTCCAGCTACAGGCTATACCCGGTGAACTGGATTTCCTCTTCATCAACCTGGGGGGCAGGACTTCAGCTCGCTGTTCCCTCCTGCTTGGCTGTTAACTCCCCATTTCTGACTCCCCCCCACCCCCCGCCAGTGTCTGAAGAACGACAATAATCATCACCCAGCCTGCTAGGATGTGAAACCCCTTTTGAAACAGCTGAGTGAAATAAGTCAATCGGAGAAGGACAAACATTATATGATCGCATTCATTTGGGGAATATAAAAAATAGTGAAAGGAGAAAAAATAAGTGGGAAATATCAGAAAGGGAGACAGAACATGAGAGACTCCTAACTCTGGGAAACGAACAAGGGGTGGTAGAAAGGGAGGTGGGCGGGGGTGGGGGTGACTGGGTGACAGGCACTGAGGGGGGCACTTGATGGGATGAGCACTGGGTGTTATGCTATATGTTGGCAAATTAAACACCAATAAAAAAATAAATAAATATTCAAAAAAAAAGAAACAGGAAAAATAAATACAAGGGGAGAACAAACAGCAAAACCCTCACATTACATTCAGAGAGGCTGAAGGAAAAACGTATTAACTACTGGTTCCTTCTCTGGTCGTTAGCCTCAAACATCCCACCTGTAGGGTGTGGGGCTGTCAGGAGGGGCAGTGGGAGCTGTGTTTGGGAAGCACCTTCCGAGTTCCCCCACCGCCACCGCCACCACCACTGAGAGCACGGCAGGGGGCTAGGGTCGCTCGGAGCCATGTGGTCCGGCTGTTGAAGTGCAGTGCGGTGGAGGGTCACCAGAGCTGGGCTCAGCTGGCAGGAAGACGTGAAGGAACATCCTTTTGGCTGAAGGAACACAAAAGCTAAGACTGATGACGGTGGTGGGGGCTCGCCCCCTTCCTGGCAGTCTGGGTTAGCACAGGCTCTGCCCGGCCTTTTTGGGTGACAAAACAAAGTTAATCCCAAAGGGATTTGCGGTTGCAAGGCTTCGGTCAAAAAGGCAGGCAAATACTTAGGGGATTTGTGATCAGGAATTCCTGAGCAAACTCAATTTGTCAATGACCAATTTGGGGTAAGGACTGGTCCCTGCAGACTTGGGGGTTGTCAAAATCCACCATTATGAGGATGCCACCCATAAACCTACCGTTCGTCATTCAGACAAAGGTAGCCATCTCTCTGCATGCTACTTCAACTGGCTGATTCGTCGTGGGACTCCCCGTTATACCCCTTACTCTAAAAGCTGCCCTTTCTCCCTGACAACTCATCCCACAAACTCCAGCAGATGGGCCATTGGTATACACAGCCCATTGGTCATAGAAACCGAGTTCATAACAGAAGAGCAGGGAGGGCATGAATCCTGCCTTAGTTGGACCTCTGATTCACAAAGAATAACTACTATTTCGGGAGAACTTTATATATGCCAGACGCTTTGCCCACTTCTTTTCTAAGCCCCAGAACCCAGTGGGTTTCTTAAGTAACTCCTGTTGGAGAGCTGAAGCTCAGATAGGCTTAGTATTTTTTTTTTCTTTTCGTTTAAGATTCCACACAGTGATAGGGCACCTTGGTGGCTCAATCAGTTAAGCATCTGTCTTTGGCTCAAGTCATGATCCAAGGGTCCCGGGATCAAGTCCTGCATCAGTAAGTAAGGGACAGGCAGGGCTAGGTAGGGAGAGGTAGGGAGGGGAGCCTGGAATCAGACTCCCAGAAATCCCAAAAATGTGGAGGTGAAAGGCCACGGTAGATAAGCAAACCAGACCATCCTGTCCAGATGCCCGAGGTGGAGCCTTGTTATAAGAGCTACTTGTGACCAACAAAGAGTTACCGGGCCCTGAAGAGGAAGTGAGCCCTTGAAGGTGTTCTCACTAGTCCGCCCTCGTGGTGATGTCAGTGGAGACGTTAAGAGGATTTGAAAGGCCAAGCCCTCCAGGCCCCCAGGGACAACCCCGAGGGGACCCCCCTCACTCCTGAGCTCTCTCTGCATCCTCGATCAATAAGCCCCCGTGGCTTCACCCAGTCTCCTTTGTCTGAGAGACTCCCTCTTCGCTCCGTGAGGCAAGAACCCAGCAATCCTGCCTCCCCCTGCTCAGCCCGGGGGTCTGCTTCTCCCCCTCCCTGTGACCCGCCTCCCTGCTTGTGCTCGCTCGCTCGCTCGCGCTCTCTGTGTGTGTGTGTCTCTCAAATGAACAGAAACTCTTAAAAAAAAAATAAAAAAGGTTCCACACAGCTGGCCAGTGAGCTAGGCTGGATCCGCACCGACACCTGCCGGACTTTCCGCGACAGGGAGCCAACTCAGGACCAGTGTGTCTTCACCACCCGAAAACGAAGCCCTTGCGCCAGGGAGGCCTCCTGGAGTCCTGGGCTGGGGCAGGAGGAAGGGCCGGCGCGGGGCGGGAGGGACCGGGACGGCCTCCGCGGCCCAGGTGCGCGTGAGAACACGAGGCGCGCACAGGCCGGAGGGCGCCGCGAGGGGAGGCGAGAGGCGAGAGGCGCGCGAGGGAGGCGACGCGAGGGAGGCGACGCGAGGGGAGGCGAGAGGCGAGAGGCGACGCGAGGCGAGAGGCGACGCGAGGCGAGAGGCGACGCGAGGTGACGCGAGGCGAGGGGAGGCGCGAGGCGACGCGAGGGGAGGCGAGAGGCGAGAGGCGAGGCGAGAGGCGAGAGGCGACGCGAGGCGCGAGGCGACGCGAGGTGACGCGAGGCGAGGGGAGGCGCGAGGTGACGCGAGGGAGGCGAGAGGCGAGAGGCGACGCGAGGGAGGCGACGCGAGGGAGGCGAGAGGCGAGGCGAGAGGCGAGAGGCGACGCGAGGCGCGAGGCGACGCGAGGTGACGCGAGGGGAGGCGACAAGAGGGAAGGTGACGCGAGGGGAGGCGAGAGGCGAGAGGCGAGGCGAGAGGCGAGAGGCGACGCGAGGCGCGAGGCGACGCGAGGTGACGCGAGGGGAGGCGACAAGAGGGAAGGCGACGCGAGGGGAGGCGAGAGGCGAGAGGCGAGGCGCGAGGCGACGCGAGGCGAGGCGCGGCTCGGACACACCTCAGACCCGGAGCGGGCGGGAGGCTGAGGGGGCGCAGGCGGGCGGGGCGGCGCCGGGAGGGCGGGCGAGCTCCGCCGGCGGAACCGGAGCCCCGGGCCTGAAGGCACCGACCGCGTCCCCGTCCCCGTCCCCGCAGGCAGGAACGCCAGGAGGCCCCGCAGCCCCTGTAGGTCGTCTTGTCTCCTTGTCCGTCACCGGCGGGCGTCCCAAGGCGTCCCGCGTGAGGCCCACGGCGCTGCCTGCGGAAAGCTGCCTCCACAGGAAGCCGCCGCTCTGAGACCTCCGGCCACGAATGATTTTAAATCCAAAAGCACATTTTCGCCACATTAGCACATGCCATTATTTTACACTTAAAAGGGATGGTTAATTAAAAATGGCAACTTTGGATATAGATGCCCCTAAGATACTGTAAGTGACCTGTCCATGCCCATTGCCACTTGTTCTCCTTTTTCTTAACTCTGTGTTTCTGCTTCTTTGGCACAAGGTTTGGGCCCACGGGCGTTTCTTGGCATCGCTCATCGCTCAGCTCTGCTGGTGACCCAGAGGCACAAAGTCACTTTCGTGCGCATCCTCCATAGCTGGGGAGGGCGGGAGACCAGGACCAGGGGCCCTACAGGTGACCCGGTGGGGGCTAATGATTGTGAGGGCCTGGAGGACCGGGTGGCAGCCAGAGAATCTGGGACGACTGTAAGAGGAGATTCTACAATCTCCCTGAAGTTGTTGAGAACGAGGAGAGTCGATATGGGCAGTGAGAGGCATTTGCACCCAGTTCCAAAGAGTAGGCCGACTGGAGTGTTGGGAACCCGGACCTGGAGGGTAACAGCAGGGAAACACCCCAGACCAGAAACCTTAGGCCAGCCAAGGAGCGGAGCTTGCTGAGGTGGCAGAAGGGGGGCGGGGAGCGGGGCAGGGTGCAGGACCAGGGCTCGGACATCCTTGCCTTAGGCCCCAACGAGGGTCAGACACAGGGAGACTGTATCCAATAGCTGAGCTACGATGAGAATTCAGGCTTCCTCAACCCCATTCGATTTTTTTTTTTAATAAATTAATTTTTATTGGTGTTCAATTTACCAACATACAGAATACCCCATTCGGTTTTAACCACTTTCTGAATTCTGTACTGTTCTCACCCCCTAAGAATTTCAAGTATTACTGCTGGCCATCACATCATCAAAAAATGGACAGTTTATTCCTCTGAATGTTAATAACCAAAAGGATAAAATAGTACAGAACTCAGACCCACCCCCCCTTGTACTATTAGGTTAATTCAGTCAGGTCATTTCTTGTTTTCTAAGCCATCTCACAGTACTTAGTACATCCCACAGTTACTTAGTGTCATTATATCTGGATATGACTACACTTATTTCTTCCAGAATAATTTTAAGCAGAGGGTGATGCTGGAATCGTATGTCTTCATAATTATTAGTGACAACAGGGTACTTTTCTATTCATTTCAGAACCTTAAGATTTCAGAACTGGATGAATAAAAACCAGCTAGTAAAAACACTTTCTTTTAATTAAAATAGAACTGCCATATGACCCAGTAATTCCACTTCTGGTATTTATCCAAAGAAAACAAAAATATCAATTCAAAAAGATACATGCACCCCCTATGTCCATTGCGGCATTCTTTGCAGTTGCCAAGATATGGAAGCAGCCCAGGTGTCCATTCATAGACAAATGGGTAAAAAGATATGGTGTATGTACACCATGGAATATTACTTGGCCATAAAAAAGGATGATATCTTGCCATTTGTGACATGGACCTCAGTGGTATGATGGTGACTGAGATAAATAAGAGATAGACAAATACCCTATGGTTTCACTGATATGTGGAATCTAAACAACAAACAAAACCAAGCCAAACTCATAGGTACAGAAAACAGATTGGTGGTTGCAAGAAGGAAGGAGGGTTGGGAGGTGGGCAAAGTGGGTGAAGGGGGTCAAGAGGTACAGACTTCCAGTTACAAAATCAGTAAGCCATGGGGACGCACAGCATGGTGACAATCGTTGATAATGCTACAGTGCAGACTTAAAAGTTGCTAAGAGAGGTTTTTTTAAAGATTTTATTTATTTATTCATGAGAGACAGAGAGAGAGAGGGAGAGAGAGAGAGAGAGAGAGAGACAGAAGCAGGCTCCATGCAGGGAGCGCAACATGGGACTCGATCCCAGGTCTCCAGGATCACACCCTGGGCTGAAGGTGGCACTAAACTGCTGAGCCACTGGGCTGCCCTAAGAGAGTAGATCTTAAAAGTGATCACAAGAAAAACAATTTTGTAACTTTGTAAGGTGATGGATAACTAGACTTACAGTGGCGATTGTTTCAGTGGTCAAAGATTGTTTCAAAGGTCAAATCATTATGTTGTACAGCTGAAACTAATTTAATGTTAAATATCAGGTACACTGCAACTTTTTTAAAATACCTTTTGTAAAAAAAAAAAATAAAAGTGAAAACTGAAGTTCAGAGGGTTAATGGTGGGAAGATATGGGGACAGAATAGAAGTTTGTAACTTCCTGTCCCGTGCTGTCTTTGCAGTTCTATAAAGTCATGGCCATTTAATCACTGAAATGAAGGTTAAAGACAGGGTCTCTTGGATAAATGTCTAGTTGACAGTCATCTCTCAGACTATAGGTACACAGGGGACATTTCAAGTGACACTTTACAATGGTCTGTGTTTAAAAACCTTCTCGTTAAAGCACACACACACCCATACGCACACATATACACACATACCCCACTGTCTTCTCTATCTTTTATACTGGCAGTGGTGTTTTATCCAACCAAGAACCTCATGAACCACCTCTGCTCCTTTGGAAAGAGTGCCGACGCCAGGAGGAGGACTGGAGTGCAGGGGCATCTCCACCTTCCCAGAAGCATCATCTCTGGCTCAGGGCACCCCTGGTATAGTGACTCCAGCCCTTGCTGGGCTGGCCCAAGGGTTGCTAGGGGTTGGGGGTGTGGAGATGGCAGGGAGGTGGGATACAATTCCTGCCTGAGCAAACCTGCATCCCAGAACTGCAGAGCCAGGTGGGAGGCTACTCTCCTCTCCCATCCTTCCTTCATCATCAGGGGGCAGGCTGTAGAGCAACAAACGGCACATAATGCCCATCAGGTTCTGTAATGACATGAACTTCTGTGTTAGTTTCTGAGGGCTGCCGCAACAAATTATCATAAACTCAGAGGCTTAAGACAACAGAAGTTTATTCTCTTATAGATCTAGAGCCTGGAAGTCTGAAACCAAGGTGCCAGCATGGCCACATTCCCTTCTAAGGTTCTGAGGAGAATCTGTGCCATACTGCTCTCCTAGCTCCTGGGGGTGGCCAGCTCTTCTTGGCATTCCCTAGCTTGCAGGAAATCCCCTGGAATCCGTAGTCTCAGCCTGTGTCACCCCATGGTTGCCTCTCCTTTGTGTTTCCAAATCCCTCTCTCCTTATAAAGATGCCAATCATTGGATGGAGGGCCCACCTGAACCCGATATGAACTTGATCACATCTGCAAAGACCCTATTCCCAACTAAGGTCATGTTCACAGGTACCAGGGCTTAGGACTTCACCCTGCCTTTCTGGGGATACCACTCAGCCCACAACATGCTCTTCTGTGCTGGCCTATCACTACTGACAGCAACTCACACATGCATGCACTTCAACTTCCTTGGTGTGCTTGTGGATGGATCCAAAGTAGATGGGGTGACCACTGTCCTGTTGTCTGGAATGAGAAAACTGCACAACAGTTTGCTCACTCCCGTACAGTCCACAGTATTTCTGGACATGTTAAGCTTCTCCTCCGTTTTAAACTCCTCATTCGATTTCCATTCCCAACTTTTGTTTTTCAGTGCCTCTTACTTATATCCTGGCTCCAACATGCATGATAAATGAAGTGTGTCTGCAGAGTCATTTCAGCCACCAGTAAAGGCTTTTTTGCCAGCTCCCCAAAGCCAATGTGGAACTTAATCTAAACACAATCCTGAGATGTTTTGAAATGATGCAAAGCGGGAGTATAGAGGTCATGAAATAGTTACCATGAGCTACTGGGTTTTGAAGTATGCCTTATTTCCTAGAAAGTTTCCATTTATTCTTTGTTCATTTATATACATCATTAAGGTTGTAGACTTCATGTTAGGGAGTTGCTGAAATTGGAGATCATCTCCCTTGACTTTTGGAGTGGATACAATGTGGTTAACTCCAGCATTAGTGCAGAAGAGAGATCTCCATGGGGCTCCAAGCATCCTTGCTCTTGATCAGTCCTGGCTATGCTGCAGGGTAACCTTGGCTTCACACACAAATGTCTGTTTCAGCAGCGTTTACCCAGAGGAAAGCCCAATGGAGGCTGAGGATGACGCAGCACGACGGAGGCTGTCACTCAAAGAGTTCCAGGTAGTCGGGTGGCTCGTCCTGCTGACCACAGGGGTACAGAAGGAGCTCTTTCCCCAGGGAAGTTATGGGTTCCTCCTGTGAATCAGAAGGCAGAGATCAGACCAGGCTGGGGGGACGGGGAAGGGCAGGCTGTTAAGATACCGTAAATAATAATGCCATGCCCTTCCAGCCTCCTCAGAGTACAGAACTTGTTGTATACCCTTGATTTACATGGAGCTTTATCGATTTATGACAATCTTAAAAGAGGTTTTTCTCATCTGCAAATTGCCATGTATGATTTTTCCCTCCTGGGCATGCATTCTACCCAAGAGTGGTCTCAGACGGGATCCGTCTGTGCACCGATGTTTAGTATCTTCTACGTTCTCTGCGGGTTCTCCCTGAATATCTGAGGAGGGACCAGGTTCCGGGATAAAGGAAATGCAGTTAAGAATCCGGAGTATCCGGAAGAATTATCAAAGACTAATCCCCCCATTACCCATTTCAATCTTTTTTCTTGTAATTGCCTTTCATTGCTAGGGCCGCCGAGGACACCACCGCACAGTGTAGGCCATTTCACCTTGTGGTAGTCCACCAGCGCTGCCAGGGTGGCGTGCTGCAGCCGGTCCGCGCCCAGGAAGCTGTACGAGTCTGTAGAGGCATCTATGAGGAAATGCTTACAGCCCTCCGCAGACAGATAGGACAGGGCATAGCCTTTGATCCTCTCACTGACTCGGATCAGAAAGCTGCCCGGTACGCAGGTGCTCAGGAGCTCATTTGCTCTCTTCAATGTAAGAATCCCTGTAGGAAAGAAAAGCAGGTATTTCAGCCAAATCATTTCGAGAACCCTCTTCAGTTAATGTAGCTGTGTGGATAACATTTAGTTAAAAGTAAGAGCAACTTCAAGTCCATTGGGACTTCTTTTTTTTTTTTTCTTAAATATTTTATTTATTCATGAGAGACAGAGAGACAGACAGAAAGAGGCAGAGACACAGGCAGGGGAGAAGCAGGCTCCATGCAGGGAGCCCGATGCGGGACTCGATTCCAGGACTCCAGGATCATGCCCTGGGCCAAAGGCAGGTGCCAAACCGCTGAGCTACCCAGGGATCCCCGCCATTGGGACTTCTTAAGCATATAGTACAGTATCATTTATCTCCTGGTATTTGGTGACTGGGCAAGCAGGGGAAACGACAGAAGCCACTGGATAATATCAATGAGAGTGTTTAACCTTCAGAATATGTTTCCACCTGTGCCCCTGGTTATAACACCACAGATGTTAGGCGGCTTCTGAGTCTGGTAGGACCCTTTACAGGCATCCTGGAAGTGTTCAGTTCTGGAAAGGGACTGGAAGGTGCTCTCCTCAGTTTATTAGTGAGGACTCTGTGGCCTGGAGAGTTATCCTACACGGTCTTAAACAGTGGTTCTCAACCAGGACACCGTCTGGAAATGTCATGGGTAGGGGGTGCCACTGGCATCCACTGCATAGAGGCCAGGGATGCTGCTAAACAGCCTACAGTGCATAGGACAGCTTCACACTCCAAAGAGTCATCCAACTCAAATATCAATAGTGCTGTGCTGAGGACCCTGGCTTAGAAGTCAGCAAGTTAAGAATAAAACCAGGAGGGACCCCTATCTACAAGTGCTTTCTACTCTAGCTACTCTTAAATGATGCTTCAGTGGCATTTAAAGGAATAAAAATTTATATACATACATAAGGATTTATATATACGCTTCTGTATTTATGTTTTCATATATATTCAAAATAAAACTCTTCATATATATGAAGTTTTATATGTACATATAGTAGAGATGAATTCACACTAATTCAGACCAGCCTTTTCCCCAACTAGTCCAAACTCTCGAGCCTTCTTATTCCTATTATAGTTCATCAGATGTATCAGTAATGCTGTGAGACATATAGGGAGTGTGCAAACATGTGTTGGAGAGATGGTGAAGTCATTCACTTATTCAAGTGAGCTCAGATTTGGGAGGAATGGCACTCTCCTAGTGATCCCTTTTGCCTCAGCAGACAGAAGCTCTTGCTTCTCGTAATCCATGGTTTGCTCCATATTGATATTCTGTATCTTGTTATTAGGGAAAAGACAGGCAAACAATCTCCTGGTGAAAAGGCAATGGATAGATTATTATAGCCCTTTACTCTTGTTATTAGTAAAGTTAATTGAGAATTGAACCTTAAGTGTCCAGAGTAGGACATCATATAAAAGCATCTCTATTTTCCAGGGCACCTGGGTGGAACAGTAGGTTGAGCATCTGACTCTTGGTTTCGGCTCAGGTCATGATCTCAAACCCCACATTGGACTCCCCACTCAGTGTGCAGTCTACTTAAGGTTCTCTCTCCTTCTCCCTCTGTCCCTCCTCTCTCTCGCAAATAAATCTTTTTAAAAAGCATTTCTATTTTCTTTTTTGTAAACAGACCTTTAATAAAGGTGGGGATTTAAAAATATCACCCATTCTCTCCCAGCCAATACCAACCAACTAATCCCCCTGCTTTCTCTTGTCCCATGTACCTTTCAGGAGGACCCAGGGCCAATGCCTCAAAGTTATAGCGCTCAAGCCCTGTGAGGCTCAACCCCAGTGAAGCACCAGGATAGGAACTGGGGGTGCTGAAAATGCTTGACAGGTCCCCTCACTCACAGATAGGAAATATCCCTGAAAGAGAAGAAGAGTCATAGCCTCTCTTCTAGGACCTCTAGCTCTACTGCACTGAGGCCCAACAAGGTTACAGGTTACTGATGCCTGTGCATGATCTCCATTGTCTCTAGTTACCTTTCTGCCCCTTCCTTGAGGAGACTGAGCCAATGGAAACTGCAGCACCACTGATACTGAGTGAGCCTCTTGGGTCAGCTGCTGTCTTCTCCATGTTAGGCACTCAAATGATGCCCATATAAGTGCCAACAGATACGACTGCTGCTTCCATTGGTCTAGTTTAACCTTTCTAAATTTTTTTTAAATTTATTTATGATAGTCACAGAGAGAGAGAGAGAGAGGCAGAGACACAGGCAGAGGGAGAAGCAGGCTCCATGCACCGGGAGCCCGATGTGGGATTCGATCCCGGGTCTCCAGGATCGCGCCCTGGGCCAAAGGCAGGCGCCAAACCGCTGTGCCACCCAGGGATCCCCTAGTTTAACCTTTCTAAACACAGCTGATCCTACTGATCATTGCAGATGACAACCATAATCTGAAACAAGGCAACAGGTAACCAGCCTACCCAGGCACTAAACATGACTGAAGTTTCATGACTCTGTATTTGATTGTCTATGAAACCAGGGATATTTTTCACTGACACCGAAAACTCCCTTTCAGCAGTGAGGGGGCTCATAAGCAATGAGTGAAGGAGAAGCAGCATTCTGGAAAAACTTCTTCCAGACTTCCCAACAGGCTAACTCTGAAATTCCAGGTTACTTCAACAGATTGGGTAGATGTTATAATTTATAACATCAGCATGTTATCCAGATGGATTTAGATCCTAAAATGAAAGCTATTCTGGAAAATTATAACCAAACCTGGGTTAAGTTAGGTTAAATTCTTCCTAAAATCAGGTCTGATAGTAGCTGTAAATCCAACTTTCCAAAAGCCTCTCAAACTGAAATTATTACCCATTACACACAGATCTTGGCACTGTGTAATATCCAGAGACACAAGAATACAATAAAATGATTTTGTGGCAAATCTTAAGTCGTAATGGAGATTCGAACACAATCATTCTGACGGCAGGTTTAGAAGTGAAGTGCTGTGGGGACCACACTTTGTTCTTGTTGCTTCACAACAGGATTATCATTCCTGAAGAGCATAGTCTTTTGGCTTATCTGATGATACTTGTCCTTGTACAATTTGTCATGATTCCATCGAAAGCAGGGAGGCCTGGCTATGATTGCTGCCAAGCAGTGAGCTTTGTCTGCATGCAGAGAGAATTCTTTAATACAAAGACAAAACCCAGTGTCAGATATTAATCTCTGTGCACAGGGCAATCTCCTTACCCTGGAACATGACTCTAAGAATTCTGAAGCAGGAGTCTTCATCCAGCTCCCTATAGGCAGGGACACCTCCAGGCAACCTTCCTCTGACCACCTCTCTGATCACACATATTATAAGAACCAAGCCCATGTGAGTTCACAGAAGGATTTCTGTGCTAGTGAAGAGGGGTAAATAAAAAGCTTTCTTTTATTTCATCAGTTTTTCAAATGAGCCAGATATTCAGCAGTGCTCTATTTTAAGTTGAATCTGGGCAGGGTGTGTCAGAACTACTACAATCTGGAAGAAAGCAGATGTCACTGCATGCACAAGGTCTTACTGGGCAGCTTGTAGCTCTCAAACAGCCTGGGACAGAGCTGGCTAAAACCCCTGCAAGCCTGAACACCCAGCACAGAGGTTCACAACAGCAGGAATTGGGAGACAGCAGAGAGAAACGTCCCACTTCTTTCTCTGAGTGATGCCAGAGCACTGTCTAGGACAGTACTGTTCCATAGAACGTTCTGTGGCATGGGAAATGTCTCGCTGGCCATATGGAGGCCATTAGCCACATGTGACTATTGAGGGCCTGGAATGTAACTAGTGTCACTGAGGGACTCACCCTTTAATTTTACTTAATTTTAATTAATATTGGTTAAAGAGTCACATATAAATAGTGGCTAGCATATTAGACAGGGTGGCTTTTTTTGTTTTGTTTTTTTTTTTGACAGGGTGGCTTTAAACCCCCTGGAGTGAAGGTAGAGCTCCATGACAGGCCTAGGAAGACTATTTTTTTTACACAAAAGAGGGTGAACAGACCCTTCTATACTTGATATAACTTAGAAACCCCAGCATGGCCCTAGTTAGAAATCCAAGTGGCAGCTACCACCCTACAGAAGGAGGGCAGGTCTCCACCACTTCCTTCTGGAAAATGCCCACTTGTTCTCCAAGACGCAACTCCATTGTTCTCCATGAAGCTTTCTGACTTCTCCCTGAGCAGTAAGTCAAGGTTGCTCTACACACGGTTCCCACCTCGACCTGAGACTCACCTGGTCTATCCCAGGTCTCACCTGGTTCCCCCTCTATCATGGCATGTACAACCCACAGCTCTATCAGAGCACTCACAGTATATTCTACTCTGTCTCTCCCTGCCCCGCATCCTTGTGCTCTCCTAGAGGCAACTACCGCATCTTATTTATTTCCACACTCGCAGCACCTGCCACTTACAAGATGCCCAGAAAAGATCTAATGAGTAATTTTGTCTTATCACCAAGCCAGAAACTTTCTTCTCTAGGACACTTCTATGCAACCACTGCCTCTAGTCTGAACATTGTTATGTATAGGGACAAGTGATATATACATTTCTCCAAGGCACTACCAACTTTGTTTATATGTGTACATTTGTATGGCCTATTTACAGAATCTGGAAAATGCGTGTTTAAAAATAGATGAAAGGTAACCAAATAATAGTAGCATATAGAGTTCTTAATGTCTGTCTGGAACTCCTCAAATGGCATATTACTTCATTTAATCCTCAAAGCAGCCAGATGAACAAGTACTGTTCCTACTCTGAAATCTCAGATGAGCAAAACCTGCATGAGAGAGAGTTCACAATGTGCTTCAGGTCACTTAGGCAGGCCAGAAAAAGCACTGGTCTTGAACCCAAGCAGTCTGACCCCAGAGTTCAGGCTCTCTCCTACTCAACCAAAATACTACCCCTGTGTGCTAGCATTTCACGCTGCTCAATGTGCCTCCATTTACTATCTCATTTAATTCTCAAACAACTCAAAATAAACAGAACTGCTATTACTACCATTGCCATGCAGGTGGGA